TGCCCTAGATTTGATCTTTGCCAAAGAGCCATCTCTTAATTTTAGCCCCTGTTGCCTAGAGAAGCTGGGAATTTCTAAACCCAAGAAGCTAGGCGGTTCCTTTAACACGACTAATGGGTTAATGTACCTGATGGGTGCACAGGTCCCTTATTCAGCTTGGGGGTGGTATGCAGTGTTGTAAACACCAGGAGACAGGAATCGGTGGGGTCCGTGTGGAGCTTGGCTGCATGTCTGATGGTCCTGTCCCTGGCACCAGCCCCAGTAGTTAGTATTTCACGTCCCTCAGTCTCTCATACATTAGATTCTGCTGAGAGTTCACCCCCGTTTGGCAAATTCTGACAGTGTTACTGAGATGGGGGTGTCCCCCACTTTGTTAATGATGAAATAGAGTCTAGCTGGGGGGGTGAGTATGGCAGGGATTTGCCAGTGTGGTCTCAGTAGGACCCTGTGAGGGTCTGGACGTTGGGCTTGAGATGTAAGGATCCTTTTGAGCAGCACTTTATACTTGGACGTTTGGGCTGAACACACCTCCCACTCTGTACCAGCGTGTCCGAAGCGGTGACTGGAAGGGGTACTCAGGCAAGCCCATCACGGACGTCATCAACATTGGCATCGGTGGCTCTGACCTGGTAAGGAGGACTCCTTTGGGATGGGGTGAGGGGTCCCACCCAGAGTCTTGGTTTTTCCAGGGTGAGACCTGGCTTTCCCCACTTCTGTAGGCCCTGAGTCTTGTTTTCTGATGCTGCATCTACCCACAGGGACCCCTCATGGTGACTGAAGCCCTTAAGCCATATTCTTCAGGAGGTCCCCGGGTCTGGTTTGTCTCCAACATCGATGGGACCCACATTGCCAAAACTCTGGCCACCCTGAACCCCGAGTCCTCCCTGTTCATCATTGCCTCCAAGGTACGGGCCTTGGACCCAGCCTGGCTCCCCAGCCCTGTGTGTGGTTGGTGGGGGTGGGGCGGGGTGGGTAGACCCTCCTGAGCACATCGTGCTTCGTGGATCAGGTCTGGCAAGCTGTGCTCAGACTGTTCTTGTCAGGCGGTAAATGCGGTTTACCTGATGGAAACCCGAACTGGTCAGTTAGAACCTTCGTCTTGTTTGCTTGCTTATATGTTTGTTTGTTTGTTTTTGAGAGAGAGAGAGGGAGACACAGAACTCAAAGTGGGCTCCAGGCTCTGCCCTGCCAGCACAGAGCCCGATGCAGGGATCGAACTCACAAACTGTGAGATCATGACCTGAGCCGAAGTTGGACGCTTAACCCACTGAGGCACCCAGGCGCCCCAGAACTTTCATATCTGCTTGTTCTGTGGGATCTGTGCCCAGCCTGGGTTTTGTTTGTGGCCATTTATGCCCTGTTTACTCCCATCAGTGCACATAAAATATGAAGAATTCCATCTGGATTCTGAGATCACAGCCTAGCTTGGGCCAAAGGAGCTCCCAGCGTGGCCACTGCCCCTTTCCTGGAAGATGCTTTGGCCTTTGACCTGTGGTGAAGGAGTGGTGTGTGTGGGTGGGATGGGGGCTGTGTATGTGGCTTTCACTAGGATTCTTCTCAATCTGGTTGGGAAGTCCTGGAATCACAGGATCATGGTAATACTTCCAGGCCTCTGCCCCAGACAGAACCACTCATTGTGACTTTGTGGACAGTTGGGCAGAGGTTGGAGTGACTGTCACTGCTCCTTGTGATAACTGGGCACCCGCATGGCCTCTGCCACTGAACCCTGGCTCTGGGTCACAGCGACCCTGAGCTGGGGACTGACTGCTGTACTTTCTGGCTGTAGACCTTTACCACCCAGGAGACCATTACAAATGCGGAGACCGCGAAGGAGTGGTTTCTCCTGTCTGCCAAGGATGTGAGTGCTGGGGTGGGTGGTGGGCACTGCGTGGGCTGGGAAGGACGGGGTGGGCCTGCCTGTCCACCTGAGTGGCCAAGCCTAATGCTACATGGGGCCCTATTTCTCCTGACGTTGGCAGCAGGAGGCAGCCTCTCTTGGTGCCCACCTTTTCTGGTTAAGACGTTTCCCAGTCCCAGACATACCAAGTGTGCCAGAACCTGCTCTGACTAGCTGATGGCACTTTAAGGTCCCTTGGCCTTGTAGGGCCTTCTCTGCCCCTGGCCACACTCATTTGTTTAGAGGGGAGGGACCCTCAGCCTTGTGTCCCTGTGAGGTAGGCTGGGCCTCTAACTCCTCTCTCCTCTTGACCTTGACGTGGGGCTCCTCCCACAGCCTTAGAGCCCAGGACTGGGAGCAGTGAGTCCCACACAGGACCTCAGTTTCTCCAGGGGTGGGAGGCTCACTACCCTTGGGCGGCCTCTGGACTCAGTTCGGTGTAACCTGACTCTGTCTCTTGTAGCCTTCTGCAGTCGCAAAGCACTTTGTCGCCCTGTCTACCAACACGGTAAGTGCCCGTGTGGGCTCCCAGACTTCCTCCCTGGGAGGGCCCAGGCCACATCAAGGTGTCAAGGTCACAGCCTATCAGAAAACTCAAGCTGAGATGTGATTCACACGTCTGGGGATCTTGGCTGGGCTGATGGGATAGAAGGGGTCAGTTGCCTGTGACGGAGGTGAGCGGCACAGCACCCCTTCTGCGTCCTGCCGTCACATCTGTGCAGCTCCAAAGAGGGATCCCGTTGACCCTGTCTACCTCTGACGCCTGGCTGAAATCCAGAACGCTCCACACACATGATCTCCTTTGGCCTCTGCCACCCTGCCCCTGGCCTGTCCCCACATGGGGTGTGCAGGGTAGGGGTGGAGGGTGCATCCCATTTCTTATATAAGAACATTAAGCCCCGGTGAAGGATTTTTGCCCAGTGACTGCATGAGTCAGTGAAGCTGGGATTAGAACACCGGTCTCCTGCCTGCCAGTTCTTACAGTCTGCCTGGCCCGGGGCTGTGCGAGGTGGGGGGGTGGGGCTGTGTGCCAGGAGTAACAAACCTCGTGGGCACTTGCTGTCTGGTGGGCTTTGTACTAGGCTATGTCAGAGCTGGAAGCACACAGGTTTTCCTAACCGTTCCCCCCACCTCCTCTGCCCCTCATATCTGACTCACACCCCTGCCTCCAGGGCTGCCCTACCCAGAGGGGAGGCAGGAGCACCTCTTAACGCTGGCTGACCAGAGCACCACTGTCTGCCTTCTGCCGGCAGAGTTGAGACTGGTCGGTAGGGTCATCTCCTCCTGTCTGACTAGGGTTGCTGACCCTCTGTGCACAGGGGACCAAGCACCTGAGGAACAGGGTTGGCCATCTCCTAAAGGCTTTCTGGGGAAGGGTCACCATCTCAGATACTGGAAGGGGCTGGACAGGTGTCCTGGGTGTGTGACACCTGGCCTGGGAGGTGGCCCCTGCCCTTCTCGGGTTCCCACCCTGGGCTCAGTTTCCCGTATGTCCTGGATGGGTTGGTGTCTGCACCTCAACAGGTCCGGGAGGTGGGTCCTGCAGGGCAGTGTGTGGGCCAGGTCCCTGCTCTGGGGGTGTGGCCTCCCGCCACAGGAGGGCTTCACGGACACCAGGCTGCAGCTGTTTCTGGGTATGAGCCGGCCTTGTGTCCAGTTCTAGGGGTGAAATCTGCTGGTTCCTGCCCGGCATTGACCGGCTACTCCAGCCCTGCCCCGTCTGCCCGCAGCTTGAATGGCATGACGCCTGGCACCCAGGAGCTCCTGGTCTCATCCAGCTAATGTAGGCTTCCTTCTTTCTCTCCCTTTGCCCCTTTTAGACTAAAGTGAAGGAGTTTGGGATTGACCCTCAAAACATGTTCGAGTTCTGGGATGTAAGTAAAGACACTTCCTTGTGCTGGGTGAATTATGTGTCCTTTGCCAGGCGTGACCACTGAGACACACATGAGGGGCCTATGAGGTCAGGTCAACATTTATTGAGCACCTGCTGCATGCCTAGCTTTGGGAAATGGCCGAGAGGCCCTCAGAGAGGCTTATGGGGCAGGAGCAGCCCAGTCAGGATGAGGGCTCCACTTCCACTGAGGGCGGGCTGAGCTTGCAAGGCCAAGATGACATTCCCCTGGGTGCCTGCCAGCGGCCCCCACCATGGGGTAACTGGAGCCACCCTTACCCCCTTCACTAAACTTGAGGTTGTGAGTTATTCTCAGTGTTGACCTTTTTCTGAACTGCAGCTGCAATCTGTAAAGGCCAAGGGGCAGGGTGAGGCAGGAGGTGTGACTGGGCAGGCCTGCTCCGGAGGGGTGGGAACAGCCGGCAGATGGCAGAGAGGAGGTGCCAGGCCTGGGGCCTGCACGGAGCCTTGTCAGGCAGCCTGCAGAACAAACCTCGCCTGAGCAGCCCTAGCAGCAGGTGGTCAGGGACTCATCTCAGCTATGGCCACAGCTGGTGCCAAACAGTGAGCGGGACCTATCCTTGCTGCTTGCCTGAGCGTGGCCCTGGTGGGAGAAAGGCTCCGGCTGTGGAATGCAGGGGAGGCTTGGGGTGCAGGGCGCAGTGTGGGTGCTGTGAATGCAGCAGGCGCTGTTCTAACACGTGACCGTGGCAGGCACACCAAAGAGGGTGTCATCCAATGGGAGTTTTCCCACTGGGGCTGTTTGCAAGCCTTTAGACTGGGAGCTGTTTGCTCGGTGGCCGCATCCACAGATGTGATCTCCTTTGAAAGCTCTGAAGGCCTCGGAGTCTGGGAGAAAATGAAGCCCTAAGGCCCTAAGGCATCTGTTGTGTGTAATGAGTTAACTTCTTTCTAGAATGGGACTAATTATGTACCATCCTTGGAAGAATTGAGAAGAGTCACTCAGATCATTTTCTTCATCCTGTGGCTCAGATGAGGAACCCCGGTCGAGAGAGACTGTGCAGCTTTCTAACATGTTGCATGTCTGATAAAGTAGGCGAGGCGCCTTCTACCTCTTTCCCGGGATCTGGAGCCTGAACAGGAGGTGGTCAGGAACAAGTGGCCTGCCAGTCACCCCTCTGTGGGTTTTCACTGGCCGTAACAGTCCAGCGTGCAGAGATGAAGGGGGGTGTGGCTTAGGGAGAGGCGCAGGTCTCCAGGTAAGGCCTGGGGTAAGGCATGGGGCTGGGGCTGGGCAGTGTGGCCTGAGTGACCGAGGTGGGCACAATGAAGGCCTCCTGGGCCAGGCCACGCATACCACATACACAGTGGCTGCAAGAGGGACCTGCCTTAGTCACTAAGGATGTATATCATTTTGAATCAAGAGGTCTCACCTGAGGAGCCAGGGACAGGGGACATTTCTGGAGCCTAGTATCTCTCAGGTGAGACAGAGGGTCAGGACAGACATAGGGGATTTTGTACTGGCTTTGAGGTAAGATCAGAAGAGTCCAGTCTGGCAGGGGGACATATAAGTGGTGAGCCTGGTCATTTAGGGTCAGTCACGGGGTAGCCTCGTGTCAGGATCAGGCAGAGGTACGATGGTAAATAGTGGGGTTTCTCAGGGCTCAGCGGCTCAGCCAGAGTCCACATACATTGGAGAGCTAACTTTGACTGGTGGGGTCTGAAGAGGAGCCAGGACAGGTACAGGTGAGTTCTGAGGAGGAGCAAGGACAGGTAAAGGTACTGATGAGGTCTATGAATTCTGGAAAAGACACCAGTATTTACGGATGGTTCTATCAAGTGAGGTCTGAGAAACCAAAGTCATGTACAGGTACTTTAACCTGGATCGGTGAAGTGAAGTCCCTGGCATAGGACAGCCATATACATCGGGGTCTCTCTTGACTGGTTCTGCAAAGTGAGCATCAGGTCATGGGTGTGTGCTCACTCAAATGAGGTGATTAAAACTCAGAATTAGGCAAATACGCGTAAGCCCCCTGAGCCACATCAGCCACCTGGCTCTCGGCATCCTGACCAGGTGTGATAAGCAGAGCTCAGGGTTGCAGAGGCCTTTGCGGATCCACAACCAGCCAAGGTTCTGGCACTGGGTTCTGGCTGGGGTGGGGCTTGAGGGGCCCAGAGAGGGAAAGTTAGGAATAGAGCAAGTTATAAAAGGTGAGGACTGGGGAGTTGGGGCGTGTGAAAAAGGTACAGGAGTCGTGTTGGTAAGGTATAGTTTGAGAGGCTCGTGGCAGACGAAGGTCTAGAGACCCACGTCTATAGGGTGAGAGGTCTGAGGCCCGAGTCACTCAGGCACCAAGGGGCTCTCACCAGTCCTCCCTCAGGCCCAGGTAAGCAGCCAGGAATTTGTCCCGTCTGAGAGAAATATCTGTTCGGATTAAGTTTGTACAGTGGAGTCGGCCAAGGGCGGTCTGTAGAGCCACATCTGTCTGAGGTCTCAGGAGCTAGAGTCAGACAAGGTGTGTATAACTAGGCAGGTTTCTTAGGGAGGCCTGAGGAGCCAAGATTTGGCACATATAGGTAGAAGCAGGTTGCTCAGGTGAGGACACTGGAGCCGGAAAAGGGCAGAGAGAGCAAAGTCTGACAAGTGAGGACTAGAAATCCATGGTCAGGTCCAGGTCAGAGCTATGTCCTCAGGTGATATCCAGCAGTTCTGGTCGTGCACACCTCGGCGATCCTAGAGGTGGTCCTGGGTCCCCTGGGAAAAGACTGAAAAGCTGGAGTCAGGCAAAAGGAAGGGGAACTGCATCCATGAATTCTGGGTCTGGCTCAGGTATGTAGAACAGGTCTGTGTCAGGTGGGGCTTGAAGAGTTGAGGTGAGATACAGGTTTGTACCTTGGGTTTCTACCAAGTAAGGTCTGAATGCTGAGGTCAGGCTCTGGTTAGTATTCTGAATCTGAGGAGCTGGGGTCAAGCACAGGTGGGTAGAGCTGAGTTTCTCAGGTAATATCTATGAAACCAAAGGCAAGCAGAGGTAGATTGACCTGAAAAGCCATGGTTAGGTTCATTCAACTCTGTCTCACCATTGAGTTTAGGCATACGTCGGTAGACGAGATCTGTCAGGCGAGGCCTAAAGAGCTGGTGTTAGGCTTATGTAGAAAGAACTGTATCTCTTAGATGATCTCTGAGGATATGAAGTGAAGTCAGGAGGACAGGGCTCAGTCTCTCAGGTGAGATCTCAGGAACCAGGATTGGGTACGAGTGACTACATCTGGATCTCCTAGGTAAGGTCAAGATCAGCAGATAGAACTGCCTATCTTGCCTATCTCTGCCTATCTTGTAGAATTATTTTGCAAGATTGACGAGTTGTGGCCAGGTACAGGTATATGGAATTGAGTTTCTCAGGAAGGGTCTACGGAGTCTGTAAATGGCACAGGTTTGTATCCTTGGGACTGTCAGTATAGTTCAGCACAGGTGAGTACAGCAGGGTTTATCAGGTAAGGTCTGTGGAGCCAAGATTAGGGCAGGTTCACAACACTCAATCTGTCCAGTGAGTTCTAATAAGTCACAGTCCAGCCCTGGGAAGAACCGAATGTATTAGGTAAGATGTGCGCAACGGAGATGAGGTATGCGTAGGCGGAGCTAGCCCACTAGGTACAGTCTCAGAAGCAAGCACAGGTAGGTAGAATTGCACTGCCAGGTGTGGTCTGAAGAGCCAGGGTCCAGCACTGGTAGGCAGATCCAGCCCACCAGGTGAGGTCTGAGGACCCAGGGGTCAAGCACAGGTAGGCAAAACTGCCCCACCAAGTATGGTCTGAGAAGCCAGGGTCAAGCCCAGGTAGGTAGAACAGGCTCACCAAGGTGAAGTCTGAGGAACCAATGTGAAACGCAGGTAGGAAGAGCTGGTCTGGCAGGTGAGGTGTGAGGAACCAGGGTCAACCATAGGTCCACCAGGTATGGTCTGAGAAGTCAGAGTCAAGCACAGGTAAGTAAAACCGCCAGGTATGATCTGAGAAGCCAAGGTCAAGCAAAGGTAGGTAGGACTGGCCTATCAGGTGAAGTCTGAGGAACTGGAGTCAAGCACAGGTAGGCAGATTTGGCTTGCCAGGTGAGGTCTGAGGGGCCAGGGTCAAGCACAGGTAGGTAGAATTGGCCTGCCAGGTATGATCTGAGGAGCCAAAGTCAAGCACAGGTAGGTAGAACTGGTCCACAAAGGGTGGTTGGAGGAGCCAAGATCAAGCACAGGTAGGCAGAGCTTGCCTGGTATGTGTGGTCTGAGGAACCAGGATCAACCATAGGTGGGTAGAACTGGTCCACCAGATATGGTCTGAGGAGCCAGAGTCAAGCACAGGTAAATAAAACTAGACCACCAGGTATGATCTGAGGAGCCTAGGTCAAGCACAGGTAGGCAGATCTGGCTTGCCAGGTGAGGTGTGAAGAAGCAGGGTCAAACACAGGTAGGTAGAACTGGTATATCAAGCAGTCTGAGGAACTGGAGTCAAGCACAGGTAGGCAGAACTGGCCTATGAGGTGAAGTCTGAGGAACTGAGGTCAAGCACAGGTAGGCAGATCTGCCTTGCTAGGTGAGGTCTGAGGAGCCAGGGTCAAGCACAGGTAGGTAGGTAGAACTAGCTTACCCGGTACAGTCTGAGGAACCAGGGTTAAGCACAGGTAACACCATCAGGTACGATCTGAGGAGCCAGGGTCAAGCAAAGGTAGGTAGAACTGGCCTATCAGGTGAAGTCTGAGGAACTGAGGTCAAGCACAGGTAGGCAGACCTGACTTGCCAGGGTAAGGTCTGAGGAACCAGGGCCAAGCATAGATGGGTAGAACTGACCCACCAGATATGGT